AAATTAATTTTAGAGAAGCTCTGGAAATAACTCTGTGATGGGAAATGATTGTAAAATTGATTACAAGCACTAGGCTTTGCGAATCTCGGCAAAAATAACTAAGTTTGTAGACTGCGATGATAAAAGTGATCGCTCGATAACTCGTCACCCTTTTGTACATTATTATATATATAAATCAAGATAGAGATGTAAACAATGGTTTCTCTCGTTGATTTCTAGGAATTTACTAAAAATAACAAAAAAATTAGAATTTTTCTCATCGCAATCATTGTTGCTAAAATCTAGATCTCACTATATATTCGTTCTAAACATCTAATTAAACTTATGTGCTCATAGGCCCAGGTACTCACCCAAAGTTTACTAAGAGATGATGTGCTAATATATCCAATCTTCCTCTCCAGGGTGATGATATTTAGGTAAGACGCAAATTATAACTTCTAGGTACATGCAATTCTTCTTCTTCCATAGATGCACGTAGTGTGACTCACAATAGCAACTTTGTTATGCACTTTATGCACGTCAAACGATATGCATTTCACATCACGCACATAAAGTAAATGCTACAAAATAATACATTCACGTTTATTCAACCCGTGCGAAGCTACGTCCTCCACCTACAAAGCACACCACCCCCGCAACAGATTTATTAATGGATCTTCACAACATGCACTTTTGTATACCTTCTTCACTGTCGACGCAGGGCCTTTGTTTTCGTTCTGCGAGTCTACGAGTTGCTTCAATATTTACGTTTGCGAACCTTCCGTCAACATTCACTGCGCACATTAGGCACCCTCCAGGAAAAAAAGAAGTTCTTCCAGAATCGATGGCAAAATTTGACACTAAATTAGGCGATTACACAATAGCCAACTTCGCCCAATCAATTCGTCCGAAATTGTCCGTCGGAGAGGGTAAAAACCTGATATAATGCGCTAGACTTCTTTTTCTTTTGAAACACTTTGACGATCAATAGGTCAGCAGCTGAACTTCCATTTCACAGAAACCACAGCCATTAGCAGAAACGAACTAATACCTACTCATGCGAGGTAGATTTTGTTTTTTTTTTTCAAAAGTAGATTCCTTCTGTCAAAGCCGATTGCACTATACGTTGGTTCTTTATCGGAGCACTCTCTTATCAGTATATATAAAAAGCAATATCAATCAAAGGTAGGTAACCGAAGGCACAATCACTATTCCTTGACTCGAGAAGATTTTCAAGGATTTTTGTTTCTCGGACACCGAGCACCTCGCCGTGCACAGAACCGAACTAATGGAGCGTCAAAACAAAAATGGGAGAACGATTTTATTTTTTTGTTTTGTTTGTTATGACCGGAACGGAGTGCAAAATGGAGGAACATGTCGGAAATGAAACGTTTGCGTAAAATTACTGTTAACGTCTGCATCAGACGCCTGTTGGTTTTGCGCAAATGTATAGCGAAAGGTGGGGCACGAACGTGGTTTTTTTGTTTGGGTTTGGACATTCCATCAGTTACATCCATCCATCCAAGCAGTACGTCTCGTACGTTGTCGACAAGGCGTCTAGGACATTGGGCTTCCCTAATAAAATGTGTATGGTTATTTTGTTTAACGACGTGTTCGGAATATCGTCCAAACAATTTGTGGAATAGTTCAATCATTTGGGTTATCGTTCGTTTATTTTAATTTTTTTAGGGTTTATCTTCAGGAAAGCATAAAATTTCTCCAACATTTACTATCTGAAGTCACTGTACTGGAATACAGTTCTGTGGTCTGAAGTCCAAACTACAACAATGGTGCTGAGAGAGTTGAGTCCGTTCAACGCCGTTTTCTTCGGTTTGTTCTGCAGAAGCTGCCTTGGAGAAACCCATTTCCAGCTATGAAAGTCGTTGCCAGCTGATTGATCTGGAGCCTCTCCGAACTAGAAAAGATACCTCTAGGGCCCTGTTCATCGCGGACACTTTACAAACTAGAATTGACTGCAGTGCAATCTTGGAGCTAGTCAACATTAACGTCCAACCGAGCGTCCAACCCCGTGCACTAGGGGCTATTCATAAACTACGTAGACAGTTGAGGGGGGGGGGGGAGTTGACAATTATCCACGGCCCATACAAATTTTAAAATTTTTGTATGGACAATTGTCGACGCAGGGGGAGGGTTAAGAATCCCAAAAATCTGTCTACGTAGTTTATGAACAGCCCCCTACGTAACAAGGTTATACCATAGAGGTAACTGGTACTGAGATTGCCACTAAGCGCACAAACTATGGCATGAATGGTGCAATAGGTGGGCTGCAACGAGTGTTCAGTTGAGTATCGAACATCTTCTACATCTGCTACGAAGATACTTCTCATCGTTCTTTTCTGGCACAGTTAACCGTGAATGATCGTATGTTTTATTTATGCATTTTATTCTTATTTTTTTATTCTTTGACCTACCTACCCAAGTAACCAAAAGCTGTATATCAACTTCAATTCAACATTCGTTATATCCTGGAACCACAGATCAGCAATGATCTTGTCTTTAAGAAATTCGTCAGCATGATAAATGCCGACTAGCATTTGAGTTATCAAATGATGTAAAGCAGTTTTTCTGACCCTATGAACACAAAAATCTAGTGCTTCAGGCTTGCAAGTCAGAGAGCGTGTTGCTTGTAAGCATTCTGCAATCTGATCTGTCATTTTAAGTTAAGTGTGTTTTTTTTTTCTTTTGTGTGTTTATTACAAAAACAAAACAGAGAATAAAAAACAAAGCGACCCAGAGGGCTGCAGAATTTTTCAATAAATCCTAATCCTGGTTCTCTGTTCGAGTTCTAAAATCAAGAACAAAAAAAAAATCTAAGTGAAAAAGATTGCATACGTGTGGGTGAATGGGATGAAATTATAATCATCAATAAATATCTTTGTTATAATTTGCTTCATTTCATCGGTAAAGCAGAACACGCAGTTATTTTAACTCGGTTTGACATTTCTCTGCAGGCCTTATAGGTATCAGTATTCTGTAAAGCTCCCTGAAGACTCAACCCAAGCACTTTACTAGCCAATTATATCGCCTTTTTCGGTCTTAAATCAGCATTTGAAAGATTTATCGGTCGGCTGTAAATGATAGAAATTATATTTTATAATATAGGTACCTATATTATAATTAATTGGTGAAAATTGCTTTAATCATTAATTTCTTTTCAGTGAAACATTGCTGATTATGGAGCGTTGTGAAGTGGAAGAGCTGACTCCTGTTCCATTTTTGGTGGACCGGATCAAATATATCTACGGATTGAATCTGCAGAAAAGCTCAGGTAATTCAATTTAATTGATATTGTTTACTCATAAGAAATGTTGGCATATTGTGCATCATATATTTTTTCAATGTTCATTTTTTCTCGTTTCTAGGGCCTTCCTATTCTAAAGGAATGACTTGCACCGTTGCAGCCAACTGCCGCTACGTCGCAGAAAGCCGCCGACCAAACTGCTTGCTGTATTTTTGGTATTATAATAAGATTGATGTATTAAATACTTAAATGAAATAAAATATATTGAAAGGCATCATTGTTCTTTTAAAACTGAATGAGGAAACATCAGAAATAAAAAAAGGAATATTATTGAGCCAACAAATTAATATTTTCGATTCAAAGAATAGAAATTCTTGATTCAACTAACAAAAATTTGTTATTTCAAAAAATGTCTCGCTATTTCAAAAAAAAATTGTCAATAATTTAAGAATAAAAAAAAATATTTTCTTTGAATTCAATAAAAAAAATTGTTGGTGTCAACAATATTTATTGTTAGCTGTTATATAACGGTTTTTTTATTTGAATTCAATACAGAATATTTTTGAAATTAAAATATATTTCTCTGCGTGAATGATAGAAGATTTATGCGAATGTAATGCTGGAAAAATGCAATCTAAAAGTGTTTGTTGTTTAGAATTTGCAATAATCCACAACCCTCTTCAGCTTGCCCCGTCTACCCCTACATTTTTCCCAATACATTAGGAAGCTCAAATCTGGACTTGGAAAATTGTTGATTCCGGGAGTACGTAAAAACAATACAAATATTTTACAGAAAATAACTTTCAGCGACATGTATTTTTTCTCGATGTTTGGACAAATGCTAAAGCTACCGGCACACAACAGAAGTGGAACTTCGGATTAGAAAGTGGCTCCACTTTTGATTGACGAACACTAGCGCACCTAGCGGTAGAAGGCATCTTCTGCCTGCAGTTAGGATAGGCAGCATGCTACCATAGTGTGAGTGCACATAAAAGCACGTTTGGAACGCTACCACAACGCATCGCTTGTTAATCTTCCTAATACAAAATTTGATACCAAATCAAGGTTTTTTTGATGTAAGGCAAATTCTTTACTCTTAAGTTTAGTCGTAAAAAAGTAACTTAAGTGAAGTGAAGAAATAGTGACTGACTTGCAAATAGTGACCTGCTCGCTGCTACCAGTCCTGTTATTTCTGTTATATACAAACAAATAGAAGATTACATTTTATATCAACATTGAATGGTAATTTTATGTTTTTCTTTTGTTATAATTTCTTCCATCTTCCACCTTTCTAATGCATTAGGAAAAATTTACACAGCGTTTCCAGGCCAAAAAGAAAGTAACTTTAGTAAGTAAGTTTACATACAAACTTTCACAGTCTAGTGGAAATCAGATAAAATTAATAAGATTTCTGTCACACAAGACATTGGTCCCACTTCCCTCAGTGTATCTTACTTTTTACTAACTGGAAATAGCTGTAAAAGTTGATCAGGATATTGCAAGTAGGTTGATCGTCGTAAACATGCGAGACTTACACACTGGCCTGACTGAGCAGTATTAACATGTTCTAACTCTGTAGTCAAGGCATTCGTGAACTAATTTTGGTGAATTCCAAGATACTTTTGTTTTTGTCGTCGTAGTAATGTTCGATTTAGATAGGTTATTCACCTTTTACGTCGTCAAAATACTCCTCCCGGAGGATCCAGTCTCTGCGATTGCGAAATATTTCTTTCGGTACATAATTCAGCCAACGTTCCGATTTTTTCCTTACTTCTTTCGTTTATTACACAGCACTCTTCCTTCGAAACTCATTCTTACTTAACGTTTAAAAGTAAACAAGCGGGAGCTTTAGAATCGCAGCTTCTGGAAGAACCACTTGTTCTTGCCGGACTTGTGACGTTCTTCGAACTTGACACGGACCTGGAAGCGAGCCTTCTTGCGCTTGGCCGGGTCCTTCAGGTCCTTAGCGGAATATTTGTTGTCGAGGCTGACGTCCGGAACGCTGTAGCGAGTGGGCATCAGGTGGTTGTAGTTCAGCATCTACGGAAAACAATAGCGGGAAACGCAGAGCTTTAGTAATGAATTTTGTTGGTGTGTATGATAGGAAATAGCTGGGTCAAGAAGTTACTATTTTTAAGAAAGAATCGAAATAATGAAGCAATTTTGTATTATCACAGCTTCTTCCCTTTAGATAATGCATCTTATTTCCCTGGTGATGAAATGTAGAATGCATTGTGCAATGTTTACTTTTGCAAACCTAACATACTACTACAGACCAGACGGCTGTCCTACCATCCAGTCATTCTAATAATTCTTCTGATTTTCCATAACACATCTAAATGCAACCAGGCATGCGGCCACACGGGAAACTGTACCATGATCACTTACCTTGATGAAAGGCTTTATCTTGGAACGCTTGTGGATGCGGGTCTTGTTCATGCGGCGTGTCACTCGTCGTGGGTAGCGATCGATGCCGGCAACGAGGGCATGTCCGAACTGCTTGTCGGAGGTACCATCATCGAACGTCTTCAGGATGATCGCCTTGCGGCCGGCGTACCGTCCCCCGAGGACGAGTACGACCTTGCCTGTTTTCATAATCTTGCCCATGATCTGAAAAATTCGAAGAAAAACACAACAAAACCGTAAATTTTCAAATTCTTCCAAGCCGGAAACAAGCGATCGGACGGTCCAAAAATGTGCGCAAGGAACTACTTAGGTGGAAATCAGGAATCCACTCTCGCTTCGTGCACTGTTTGTTTGAGTTGCCAAAACGTCAACTCTTGCGCGTTCACCATAGTGAGTGGTGCAAATTCGTCTCATCAAACCACGCAAAAACCAACACATTTTCCAAAGAACCGCTACCGTTATCCACGCCCGTTCGTTAGTTCCACAAAATCCGAATATTTCGGGAGCAGTTCGTACATTTTCCGGCCGTCAATCACAGAAAAGGAGCCAATATTTGGCAAAAATTTACTCACTCAGTGAAATGTGTTCACTTTCGATCCCAATGGCCGACCGGAAAAAGAACTAAAACGGGACAGAGCGAGTTGACGTTTCGGAACGATGTGTCAAACGAGCAAACTGGTATAAAAGTGATGGGCTCGAAAATTTCGGGAACAGTAGCCCACGTGGTGGTTCATGAGGAGTTTTAAAACTTGTTACGAGGGGAAGGGCAAAGGATTTATACACGGTAAGTAAAAAGTTCCCAACGGCCAGTTCACTTTTACCTACTTTTGACTAGTTTGTCTCCTTTTCTCTTACTAATGTTGTCAAAAACGGACGAGCAAAACCACCCAACAGGGGTAGTAAAGTGTGGGAACCCAACGGTGAGTATAATCATATTTACCTACTGTTGGGTACAACTAACTTACATTTGGTTAAAAAGCCAGTGGAAAATTCCATACGAACTGCACACAAGTAAATGAAAATTACTTTGACCCGCTTTACCTACTTTTGGGTTCCTGCACTATAGTGCCGAGATGAGTGAAAAGAACATAATTTTGGGTACTTTTTTCTAACCGTGTACTTTCGCCAACAGTTTTGAGGCTGTGTGCCCCCTCGGGCGACACATCTAAATCTCAATTAGGTTTTGCACCGTCGGGGTTAACCTCAATCTGATGACAGTTTAGTGGTACTGTTTACGTGGACTTAGCCAATTTTTTCTTGGGTGGATTTTCTCGATAATTTTTCAGACTGCAGTGAGATGTAAACCACATTTCTGCAATGTTCACGAGCAACATCCTTGCAATGCGCTGTTCCTCGACAATTTTCAAGTTAAAATTCGGAAATTTTAGAATTTTTTTTTTGAAAAAACGACTAAGTGCTTGTAAACAGTACCACTGAACTGTCAAAAAGGTTCAGCCGATTAACACTGAGTTCATTCGTGACGTCACGCTGCAGAACCTAATTAGGTACTGCAGCGTGACGTCATAAATGAACTCAGTGTTAGCCAGCTGAACCTTTTTGACAGTTCAGTGGTACTGTTTACAAGCACTTAGTCGTTTTTTCGAAAAAAAATATTTAAAAATTTCCGAATTTCAACTTGAAAATTGTCGAGGAACAGCGCGTAGAAAGGATGTTGCTCATGGACATTGCAGAAGTGTGGTTAACATCTCACTGCAGTCCGAAAAATTATCGAGAAAATCTACCCAAGAAAAAATTGACTAAGTCCACGTAAACAGTACCACTGAACTGTCATCAGATTGAGGTTAACCCCGACGGTGCAAAACCTAATTAGGTACTGCAGCGTGACGTCATAAATGAACTCAGTGTTAATCGGCTGAACCTTTTTGACAGTTTAGTGGTACTGTTTACAAGCACTTAGTCGTTTTTTCGAAAAATATATATTTTAAAATTTCCGAATTTTAACTTGAAAATTGTCGAGGAAATGCGTGGTGAAAGGATGTTGCTCGTGGACATTGCAAAAGTGTGGTTTACATCTCACTGCAATCTGAAAAGTTATCCAGAAAATCTACCCAAGAAAAAATCGACTAAGTCCACGTAAACAGTACCACTGAACTGTCATCAGATTGAGGTTAACCTCGACGGTGCAAAACCTAATAGGATGCTGCACGGTAACGTCACGAATGAACGCGATGAACCCGCATTCATCAGTTTGACATCCAGTGGTGGTTTGTTTACCTTTGCTTGTTAGTTGTTTCAAGTGGATTTGAGTTTGTAAATAAAAAGAATTAAAAGTTATGTTATCCGACGAACATATTTAAAAAACATTCCTCTCAAAAAAATTTAAAAAAACATTTACTAATTTTTTTTTTCCAAGTCCATGTAGACAAACCACTGCGAGATGTCACAAAAGTGAGGTTAACCAGACGGTGCAGCTCCCAATTCTAGATGCTCAAAAAATCTCACACTAGCGAATAAATCTTCGAAAAATCATCTTTTATTTCTCGCATCTACTTGCATCGCGCATCATTTTTTTGCAGGAAATCTTCAAAATCGTGATAAATCTTCTTTCTATCTACTCAGCGTACGCGCAGCTAGCCACAGCAAAACACAATATTTCCTGCATCGTAGATAGAGTCGTCCCCCTCGTGTATGTGTTCCATTTGGTGAATTGTCTATCATATTGACCAATGCACGGAATGAAGTCATGTTTACATGTCACAATAGATACGTTTTCAGGTTTTTTGACAGTTAGCCCATGCATTATCTGTCAAAAAACCCGAAAACGTATCTATTGTGCGCCGGCCTTAAGAAACACGGCACCGCTCAAACGTATTTTTTTTGTGAGTTCATTCCGTGCAATGGTCAATTCTTGCGTCACTTTTCAAAAGGTCCTAATTGACACATGTAAACAAATCGAGTTAAGCGATGCAAACTTCTGCTCTCCTCTCAGCTCTACGACGCTAACGATTTTAAATTGGCTCACTACTTGACTAGCCTATTGGTCCCAAGCAAACGAACAACGCACCCCATTCTAGTCGAAATTCTAGTACTACACTATGTTTGTTTTGATTCGCTATGAAAGTTTGACAGATAAAATGAGGGGTTAGTGGATTTTCCTATGTTTCGAGGGGTGAATCGGTTAGCTTGGGACCGAAGATAGTACCAGAGCTGAGCCAAAAAGTTGAGCTCGTTTCTTCGGGACCTTCTAGTCTTACACAGCAAAAAAAATGTAATATCGATCAACGTAATTCAAGCTGATGTATGAAATAATGATGTAATAGCAAAAAGTAGATACAATATTACATCAATTGATGTAATTTTGTTCGCAAAATCGATGTACATCGTACAATGTGATATTACACAACCGATGGATTGACCTGGTTGCAGCAGTTTCGATGTAATATTCAACAACTTTTTTTTCTGTGTAGAGTTAGTTACCTCTATGGTACTACCACAGAGGTAACTCTAAGACCACTGGGTCCCGAAGAAAATCATTATTATTTTGGCTCACTCAGTACCAGAACAACGGTCCCAAGCAGTCCCAAGCTATTTCGCTCACCCCTGCATGTTCTGCATGAATCCACACACCCCTGATGTTATCTGTCAAACTTTCATAGCGAATCAAAACAAACATAGTGTAGTAATAGAATTTCAACTAGAATAGGGTACGTTAATCGTTTGCTTGGGACCAATAGGCTACTAAAGTGGTGAGCCAATTTAAAATCGTTAGTTTCGTATTGATTGTTGGTACTACCAACTAAGAAACATTTAAATTGACCGTTAAAAAACGATTTTGATGAACGTTTTAAGAGTGTTATGTCTGCTTGTCTATGATCATACCTTCACTATCGCAACTTCGGGTAATCTGCGGCACTTTTGTTCTAACTGCAATTACTCTCTCATACTCGAAATGTGCCACGACCAAATTGGCACAACGACGCCCTATACGCTCTCTGACCGAAGCGCATGGATACAGATCAGGTACGTGATATTTCACGTAAAGCGGACGTGAAGATTTTTTAGAGTGTAGCATCTAATTATTTCATAATTTGCTGAAATGAGTATTTGCGAAGACAACAAATCAAGAAGACTGGCAACTTTGCCAGAATCCAAGCGACAGATACAGTAGCGCTGCGCTTGAGTGAAGGTGGAAGCAACGCATAGAAAAATGAGCAAATACACAAACCCTTCGTCTAAGGATGTAATCCTTGCTATAAAATTCGTTCGAAGCAATTACCTTTGAGCGGCAGATGACGCGATGGGACCTGTCTCATAGAGCTTGCTGACGTTTATCGTATGCACACTATACGTCACGTATACGTATACGCAAAATGTTTTCATCGGGAAAAAAAACTTCATAGTGAAAATTTTGTCCAGATGAAAACAAATCACTGACACAATCACACTTTAGCAATCTCTACACCGAGGCAAAAGAACTTAAGAATTCCATAAGAACCACTTATGAATTTTAGCCACAAGAAATCGATATGAATTTCATAGATTTGCCTTATGTTTTCATAATATCGACAAAAAAATAATTAAACGTAGCAGACTGGAACCGAACCATGGACGTTGAGATTACGGGTCCTGTGTCTAAACCACTCGTTTATCAACGCTTGCGAAAATGGAATGGCTAAAGGCTTGGAAGAGCTACTTTATGTTAGACGAAAATCTTTCATAAGTGATGCTTATGAAATTCATATGTGTCGTTCATAAGTCGAGCTTTATGAAATTCTTAAGTCCATTTGCCTCAGTGTATAGCGTTCATGAGAAAATGGAAGAGTTGCCAGTCTTCTTGATTGTTGTCTTCGGTATTTGCAACCTTGGTTTTTACCTGGCACTGTTGAAATTGCAAAACAGAATTGACTTCTCGACGCAAGATCTCACTAATACAACCTACACAGAAATTCAAAACAACCCAAAATTAAGTTATTTTCACTCATCTCCCATGTTCCGTACAATAAGCCAAATTTGGGTAAACCGGCTCAAAGTAGTTTGCATTTAAGCACGGCAAAAAAAAATACCCATCGCTAAGTTATTTTCAATTTTTTCTACCCAAAATTAAGTTCAATTAACTTAAATTTGGGTATATCGCATATTACTCAATTTTGGCTTCTCGTACGGAACTAGACGGTTGAGTCGAATCTTTCGTTCTATTTTTGACAACAATAGCGAGAGAAAATGAAACGGGCTGAGGTCAAATAACTCAAATTTGAGTTTAAAAAACCCAAGCGGTGGGTAGTTTTGTTTTTCTGTGTAGCTAGTGTAACCGTGTAAAATCGATTTGTTTATTATTTTCAACCACGAAATCAGCTGTCAAAGTGTTCGCCTTGACAGCGGTTTGTTTTTTATTGTCAACCAGTAAAACGCATGTATTAGTGAAACTGCTCACTAATACTAACGGTGATAGAGAACTCTATAGAGATTAGTGACGTTTCACGCACGCACACTAGCGGGAGCAACGCCATGTAAAGTTGTTTATTATTTTCCTCTGGGTTACCTAAAAAATGTATGAAAGTAGATCTGTCAAAATGAGTTTGACATCGATTTGTTATGTATTTTCCTCGAATATTCACTAACACGCTCTCACATATCGCACCAATACAATCGGACGTGAAAATCTCTATACGCGGGAAAGTGAAGGGTGATAGTTTGACAGCTCACACACGTTACTGAGCATCCAGCAAAATATTGCTAATTACTGAACATACAGCAGAACACTGTTTTGCTGGAAGCTGTTCAGCAATTTGTTTTGCTGGAACTTGATTTCAAAATTGTGTGTGTTGATGGATTGAATCTAGTTCTTCTGGACTTTTTCTTTGATGTCGTATAATTACTTATGCACGTCCCTACAACCGTCACTGAATTCCACGACAAATCGGTCAGCGCACCTAGCAACAAGAAACCACAGACAAGCTCAGTTCTAGATAGAGCTGGAATTAGGGCCTAACAGCTTTTGTAAACAATGACTTCAATCGATGATTTCTAGAAATTCAAGGCTCGCCCACGCAAACCAACCCTCTCATCGGATAGGGAAACACTTCCCCAATCCGATGGTTATGTTGGTCTGCGTGGGCGTGCTTTGAGTTCTTGGAAATCATGAATAGAAGTCATTGTTTACAAAAGCTGTTACGCCCTAATTTCAGCTCTATCTAGAGTTCTAGATTGATTTTTGAAGTATTAAGTTAAGTTTAGTAGAAGTGTTAGCAATATTTTGTAATGATTAACTTGATTTAGCACGAATATTTTTTTTACATAAACGGATTTCCCGGTTAATTAAAAAAAAAAAAAATTTGGGAAAATGCCGCCCGTCACCCGTCACTAAATAAGTCCTTGGACGCTCAAGGACTTCATTTACCCTCCTGACGATAATATAGGTCTAGGTATGGCCGAATCCGCAATTTACCATATTAAATATTCCTTTGCATAAAAAGTAGGGTGTCAAATGATAATGGTTGATTAGTAATCTCAAGCAACAAACTAATGCTATATCAGCTTTGTCATAACATGCACGGTTGATAATACACTTAAGAAGTGATACTTCTACTAAGCTTTTGTGCTTATGGATTTTGTTTGTTTTTATTTTTTTATATCCTGGTAAAAATAAAGTTTACTGAAGATGCCTTCTGGATGGTATCTGGAATTCAGGACTTATACTGGAGGTCCTTTGGACTTGCTATTGAAGCTATGTTGCTTGATTGTCCCCATTTTTTACGTGATGACCTTATGCATTTGAAGTATTCTGGACATTGGAGTAACACTGTTTCCTATGGGCCTACCTGTTCTCAAAATTACCATTGATCTATGTTTAACAATTTTTCTATAAAAATTAAGTTCTTTGTAAAAGTTCTTCAAATGGTATACTAAAACGTGCATCAATGAGTAAACTATAGCTTTTAAGAAATACCAAATGGAATATGGAAAATTAAAAAAAAGTTTATTCAGTGTTTGGTCAATATACATTAAATGGGTACCGTGATCACATTAGTCAGAAAGTGTAACAAAAAAAACTGAAAGCTTCCTTTTCAGTAAGGAATAAAACAAGATCAGATAGTTAAAACGTCAACGAGTAGATTTCTCCTCCAAATACAATCTCCTGGGCCACCACGTGACCCAACGTTGCTTGCTGCTTGGCTATGGTTTTCAATACATTAGTGTGATCTGTAACGGAACAATAAAAAATATCTTCGGTGTTGAAACTTTACCGTGAAAATAAACACAAGCACAACTTTTCATATCGACGCTTAGTATTTTGTTAACAATATTACTTCAAACGTCAATTTGTCGGTTTGAAAAGTTGCGGTTGAAAACTAAAGTTTAACAAACTTACTATTAACGGTGCAAGTGTGTGCCACACAGGGAAAAGTTAGCTCCTTCGGTAGACTGCGAATCGTTTCGCGCTTCACCGGGGCCACGTTTCCATAATCGATAAATTGCACCACGAAAACGTTCTTTTCCGGCATGGGTTTAACACAGACCGCTCTGTACCACAGCTTGTCATCATCGAATACGGCTAGGCACAGTTCGTCCAATCTGCAAGGTGGAATACATATCACAATGCTAAAATCTATGGGTAAAAATGAAGTAGTTTCTACTTACTTCGGACAGTATCCGTCGCCGCCACATCTGGCAGCTAACTTGTTGACCTTTTCGATCAGAGTACTGTATCGCTTAATGTTCTCGTCCGTCAGTTCACAGACGGTGACTGCTCCCTGAGCTAGATCACCGTCATCCAGTATGCTCAACTTGATGCCACTCTTTCCCACAGGCAACGAAACCATTTCCACATCATTAATAGTGAACACCGAAGGTGTCGCAACTGCTTCCGCCTTTTTACGCTCCTCGTCTTCTTCGTGAGCTTTCCGTTCTTGTTCGGCTCTTGCGGCTTCTGCTTGTTGTTTGGCTCTGGCTTCGGCAGCAGCAGTGGCAGCTTCTTCATCCTGCTCCCGCTTCTTTTTGGCTGCTTCTTCGACCTCACGAAGTTTTTTATCATGGTTCTCCAGCAGGATGGTCGCCAGAGAACGGTTTGTACTTATGTCGATCAGCTTTACTCCGTAAATGTATGATCCGCCTTCGAACAGCATTCTGAACTCCCGTTTCTCTGATCTGAAGCCATCCAGTTGATCAAGAATGCAGCCATGATCTTTGACCGCGGATGCGTTCATATCAAGTATGTTCACTTTTCTCGTGTACACGGGTAGATTATTCACGAACCCATTGGTTTCGTACAGCTTTTGTAAAGCAGTCTTCTTGATGATTCCATTATCGAGATCCAAGACTTCCACTTCCGTTGCAGAAACATTAGAAAGCACTCTTGCCCGATATGGCATCATAAGATCGTCCACAGCAATGACTATGTCCTTTACATTCGGAACCGCGGTTAAGCGTTTCAAGCTCGGCATCACCGTTTGCAATAGCTCAGTAAAGACATTGAGCTTGCCTTTGGGACAGATCACAATGCTACTCACATCCAAGGCGGACGAAATCTTCACAATACTTTTGTCTTGCGGAATATGCTGCCAATTGTTGATGCCCACCTTCTTCAGATCGCATGTAAAGTCCATAAACTCTACTACCGCTAGCTCACGCTTCCCTTCAGAGTCTTTAATCGTACACGTCATCGTTCGCTGTACCTTGTTGAACGCCAGCCGCTCGAACGTGAACGAAAAGGTTGGCGTGAAGCATATCCGTTTGAAGTAGTCCTGCTCGTTGATAACCACCTTATTTATCTCCATGTACAGCACGAGCCACGGCTTGTGCTTATATAGCTCCGGTAACGTGCGGGCTTCCTGTACTTTAACCAGCTCCACCGTTCCATAGTCAACGGTATATACCAACCGGTTATCTTCGTGTTGTTCGATGATCAATGCTCGCGACCAGCCGGAATCGCTCAATTCCACACAGATCAAATCTCCAATCTTTGCATTCTCAGCCAAAGGGAACTTGACTGCTGCTTCGGGCAGCTGAGTATACAACAACTTCATGATAGGCTTCACTGGCGTAGAAGAAAGCATCACTAATGCTTTCCTAGGGGAAAGAATGGCTACGATTCCACCCTCTCCGACATTTTCTTCGTAATTGCCAAGCCAATGCAACAAACTCACCGGAGCTAGATTCATTTTCACGATCTTTCGATCGCTCTCCGTACGAACGATGCTGATCCGAATTACTTCGGTTAGCTCGAGAGGCCGATTCAGATTTTGAATTTCAATCAGGAACGCAAAAGCACGAAGATTCTTCATCAGCGGGAGCGGGGCACGCAAGTCTGAAGCCGGCAGTGTCAGTTCGTTTCCGTAGTCGATCAATCGAACTGAAAGCAGAGATTTTGCGGAGTCAATCTGAAAAGACAGTTACCTAATTAATACGGTAGTAACTCTTTTCGTTGAATAAACCACTTCTCGTTCGATGCATAAATAAATGCCGGAGCGCTGCATTTGGATGATACAACCAAATATGTGGAGAATCAGGTGGATCACCATTCGAATTTTACGAATATTATAAAGATTTTGCGCTTTGTTTTTCTTAAGATCCCGGATTTTTTTTAAGGAATATTTAAGATCTGAAGAAACTCTAAAGAAGCTCTGAAAGAAAGACGCAGAACGATCTGGAGTAAGTCCACAGATATATCTGAAAGATATCTACAGGAAGATCTGGAGTTAGTACACAAACATCTAGAAGTAGTTCACAGGAAGATCTAGATGAAGTCCACTGGGAGATTTAGAGGAAATCCGCAGAAAGATCTATAACGTAAGATTTTTTTAGTGCAGTGGGTTGGATTTTTTATAAATCACCACAACACATCCATGCAGGCTAACTACACCATTTGATAGCGCTAACTTTCTCAAATACCTATATACTGCTGATGGGTTGCAGGAATGAATCTCCCTGCTGCAAGTCGACCACACGGATAGAAATCTCCACCTTTTGGAAAATTTCTAGTGCTGATTATTCATAAAATGTATAAGTCAACTAATAAGCAGACGCCTTCCAAAAAGTTAATGAAGCTCAATCGATTGTACGACTTTTCCCCGAAAACCAGTTCCCCGAAACACTTTCCTCGAAAGTTTTATCCCCGAAATACGATTCCCCGAAAACTATTTCCCCGAAAGAACAAGTTCCCCGAAAGATACAATTTACACTGTGCGATCTATTTAAATATGATCCTTGGGTTTGTTACAACTTATCTATATAAAATTGAGAAAAATATCTCTGCTGAATATTGATAAACAGAACAAAGTCGTTCAACACCCTAGATAAAGTTTGTGGTTATGACTTGTTATGACATTTGGCGGTTTATCAAATTGATAGCTGATTGTAATGAGCATAAAGACTGAGCTTTCATGTAAAGAAGGGAAAATTGTGTCAGTTTTATCAAATATTTCGCTGGTTAACTACTTGTTTCGAACAATACCACAATACACATATCAATGTGTGTCGAATTAAAGTGGACCCTACACGACTGTTTGCATTGACAATAATCGTATTGTCAATGCATTTTATATTGACGTCAATACATCGATATTGACAATATATCTGTATTCACATCATCAATATTATTGTCAATACTTGTAATATTTCTTACCGTGTGGGGTTCGCTTAAGACAATAGTTTGACTTTCGTTAAAACTACATGTAAAGGTCACACACTAAGATTATGTCACCGAAATCTGTGAAACTTTACCGAAATCTGAACAGCTGAACCACAGACAAACAGACATAACACTCGCAAGTTGTTCATCGAACAAGCATTAAACGGTCCATTTAAAAGTAACGTAGTTGGTAGCACCGCCACCTGTGGCGCGCATAGTCAATTCCCTTGCGTTTGACGTTTGCACACTACCGCCATCTGTTCAGCGTACTACCCATCACAGTGTATTCAACAGATGGCGTCAATGTTTTAGCGACGATGTTTTACAGTGAGAAATATTCAATGTGTTATGTCTGTTTGTCTGTGGCTGAACGTTCGGTAAACAGTTCGGTGATTTTTCACAGATTTCCTGTAATTGTTCACCGAATATCTGTGAAAAAATATAGGAAATCTGTGAAAAATCACCGAACTGTTTACCGAACGTTCGCTGTTGAGATTTCGGTGAAATAATCTAAGTGTGCAAACACTTCTGAAATCGGTGTATGGTGTTTTCTTCTTGCTCCATACAATTTTGGATTCGGCCTATAAGGAGTCGCAAAGTGACTATAGCATGTATTGCATGGGGATGCATGGTATCTTTTATTTATTAGTATGGAGTTTTTTAACGTTCGTACCTATCCAACACACACACACACACACATACATTGTATGCAATTAGCTCCATGGAACATACCAAGTTATACGTCAAATAATTAACTAAGATAAAAAGAAGGAAAAATTCTTGCAACAAACATAATTTTCCCTTCTTTGTATCACAGCTCGTTCATTAATTTCACGTAATTTGAAGAATAAATATCTTACTAATTTATAAAACTGATATCTAATCGTAATCAAATTAAAAAACGAGCCGTTAGGGGCCATACATTAATTATGTCACGCGAAATTGAGGCAAAATTAATCAATCACAGATTTCTACACTCAAAAAATTTATCACATATCTAATGGATGAAATCCATGTGATTTTCACATAGCTTTCCTGTGATCACATAGCAGCAAATCCCACCACAAAATTACATGAATATTATGAGGTCCATGAAATTCATATGAAAAATCATATAAAATTAATGTGATCGCATAAATGTTATGTGAAATTCAGATGAAGTCCATTAATTTTGATTATGGATGAAAATCATGTGCGTTTCCAATGGAAGCTACATGAAAACTATTTTCGGTGTACACGTCCCTCCTTAGGGCGTGACATAATTTGTACATCACCCCTTATACAAAGAAGAAAAATCGTTGTTTGTTTCAAGAAATGTTCCTTCTTTGTAGCACAACTCGTTTCTTAACGTATCGCATAATATCTACCCTTGTTACCGCGAGGCAATTAATTTAAAACCAAAACCATAAGATAACCACATAGTTGCATCTCGTTTGCATAGCCCTAGCTGACGTTGATACCAAGGCCAAGAATATGAAATGAAAAGTAGGGCAAAAGAAGCGAGAGCTCGTTTTACATAATCTAACTGCAGTATTTACATTAGGAATGCTTCTGCGTTCAAGTGGGATAAACACGCCCACGCATGGCATGTTTGCGCATCTAGGTTAAGTTTAGCTTTCCCTCTCTGTTTATCCTTAAAGAAGGATATAGTTATGATGTATAAACGTTACAAATGTCACATTCATAATTGTAGAGCCATATCAGATCTGAGTTACAAAAAGAAATAAACTTACAAGATAACCCGAGAAATCCCAGATCTGAGAGGGCATAGTATATAAGATCCAAATAACACAAATTTACCCTTTCAAGGGCGATCGAAATCCTAGCTAATAGAATAGGCAAAATTAGGTCAAAAGTCCGGTATTGAAAGGGATATGTAAAACCCTGGACGAACCAAGTAAAAGTTTTACATAATTATAAGTTGCTATTGCAACACGTAGTCGTAAGATCACCCGTAACTACCTTCAGCAAAGGTCGTTTAAGGTATCGTTGAATGGTTGTCTTTCCGACACGTTTTCCATCCCAGCAGGAGTGCCGCAAGGCAGTCTGCTGGGCCCCTTGCTTTACAGCATTTATACTTCCGACATTCCTCCCCTTGGAGACGGTTGCGTGTTCTTCCTGTGCGCAGATGATACCGCAATAGCCGTCAAAGGAAGGATGCCTCGCGAAATAACGAACAAACTTCAACGATGCCTTAACGCCTTTGCTGATTATGCCACCACGTGGAAAATTAAAATCAATCCCTCCAAAACACAAGCGATCATGTTCCTCCATCGGCAATCGCCCAAACTGAAACCGGCTCCATCTTGTACTGTAATCATGGATGGCACAAGGGTTGAGTGGTCCGCCGAAGTAACCTATCTCGGGATGTTGATCGATGAAAAGCTCCTCTTCCGTTCGCATGTAGAGAAAACTGTAGTCAAGTGTTCTACCTTGGTTAGGTGTCTGTATCCGCTGATTTGCCGCAGATCCCGCCTCTCAAGGGTGAACAAACTGGCCGTCTACAAACAAATCATAGCACCTGCGATCCTCTACGCAGCTCCGGTGTGGGAATCATGTGCACAGACTCACAGGAACAAAATTCAGGTCGCTCAGAATAGAGTGCTGAGGATGGTTCTTGATCGTCCTTTCGACACTAGAATAACAAATTTACATGAAGAGGCAGGCATTGCCAAAATAGATTCCAGAATTAACGAAATTAAGACTAAATTTGCACAAAAATGTAATTTATCAGAACATGCTTTGATAAGCAATTTGTATATAGTAGTTGTAGGTTAGTTGTAGTTGTAAATAGTAGTTATAAGTAGACTCCTTTTTCCAATTCAAATCATACCAATCCCACCAAGGTGGTCATACTTTAAAATAGGCCTGATAGGACTAGAAACTGTAAATAATAATTAAAATCTCACTGTACTAAAGTTGAAAAGACGCATCTGTGTCACTTGAAAAATTCATACATGTAAACCACACAAACACAAGAAATAAAGATAATTTAACTGCTAAAAAAAAACGTAGTCGTAAGATCACTTTGTACAATTTTGTTGAATAAAATCAAGTTTCATAGGTTACTCCAGATTCTTCTCTTTTTTGAATCCGAAAGAACTTTCGGCATAGAAGTGAAAACTTCTCTCCTTAACCGGGGAAAAAAGTAGCTCCTAGAATCGAGAAACAGTGTCTGACCTGGGAGCGAAAGACTCTCCCTAACCGGAGAAGAAAGTAGCTTTTGGCGGCGACAACCCTAATAAAAATGTTATGGTCAATTTGCTTAACGACGTGTTCTGGGTATCATCCAAACCATTTGTGGAATAGTTCCATCATTTGGGTTATCGTTCGTTTATGGTAATTTTTTATTAGGGTATCTAATTGGTTTTATCAAAGAGATATCATTTTCCTTTCTTTGTATCACGGCTCGTTCTTCAATTTTATTACAATGAGATATCGCTTTGATAAATTAGTTAGATATTTATTCTTCAAAACGTTAAAGAACGAGCTGTGATACGAAGAAGGGAAAATTTTGCTTGTCGCAAGAAATTTTCCTTCTTTGAATCATAGTTCATTCTTTGACGTATAATATGGTATGATCCATGGAGCTAATTGCATACAATGTGTGTGTTTGTTTGATAGGTACGATCGTTAAAAAAAAAACTCCATACAAACAAAGAAAAGATATCATGCGTCCCTATGCCATGCATATTAGTCACATGGCGACTCCTTATAGGGTGAATCTAAAATTGTATGGAGCACGAAGAAATCAATATGTGTTGAATAAAGACAAAAGTTTGACTTTCGTTAAAACTACATGGAAAGGTCAAAAGCTGCTGAAATAGGATTACACCAATTTCAGGAGCTTGACCTTTACATTTTGTTTTAACGAAAGTCAAACTATTGTCTTTATTCGACGCACATTAATATGTTTATTGTGGTATTGTTCGATACAAGTAGTTAACCAGCGAAGATTCGCAGATTCGGGGAAATGGTACATTCGGGGAAATTATTTTCTGGGAACTGTTCCATTCGGGGAATTGTATTTCGGGGAAAAGTTACATTCGGGGCAATAGCTTTCGGGAAAGTGTTTTCGGGGGACTGGTTTTCGGGGAAAAGTCGTACAATCGCTCAATCATGTGTCAAATGAAATGTATAAGCGGTCACAATACCTGTTATGCATTCTTATAGGACCTATATGGTTTGTCTTAGGGTAGAGCGCTACTTCGTCGTAATCGCCCATTTCCGTTCTATCGATCAGAAAAGATCAATAATATCAATGATTTCATCGTGCACAAATCAATAATAGGTTTTTTCCGATGCGCTAGTTCATTAGCTACAATATAAACCCTGTTAGAGCGTATTGTATGAATATTTACGCTCATTGTTCTCAAAACAAAAGAAGCGCTCCTAGCGAATCCCCTTTTTCTACGTTTATCCGTAGGACAAAGAAAATCTAATGGCGTTTCAATGCGTTAGGACGGAATTGAAACTCGTAGAACGAATTTAGAATCAAGAAGCAGTGTTAGATTTTAGACAATATCTCATCAATTTGTGACTCTTTATTAAATCCAACGGTACGTATGGAAAGGTGAATAAATTTGCAAGTCATCTTTGGCAGAAATATTCCATTTTAAATTTCTTTCAGAAAAGAGAGGTAAAGCGCGGGTTGTGCTTAGTAGGACGGAAATAAGATCAAAAACCCTATGGAATGTTGGCTGATGTTTTGGCATAAATGTATAAATGAAACACATGAATAAGATAATTGATTTTCGTTTCGTGAGGTGAAAGTTCCTTAATCGATTCATAAGGCTGGCGCACAATGCATAAGTTTCTGGGGTTTTTTTTTTTTACAGATAATGCATGGGCTAACTGTCAAAAAACCTGTAAACTTATCCATTGTGCGCCGGCCTATAATCTTTGAAATCCCCGGGTACTTAGGTATACTTAATATTTTACGAAATCATGAAATCACACCAAGAATACAGCACATGTTAATGATCGATGTAAGATCTTACGAAGGGGGAGCTGGGATAGAAAAATCCCAAGAAAAATCTTACGTAATAAGTGCATGGTCCCTTAACTAACATCTTACCTTTTCCAAAATCACCGCACGATAGTAGGCGCCCACATACGGAGCCGTACATATATCATTCACCTGGATAACGTCAAATTTAACCGGTTCTCCGTTTGGATTAACCTGTCCGTTGATATCACGCAGCAGCTTATCGCACTGGGTTTCGTGGTCAGCCGAAATGACCCAGCATCGGTTTGGTTGATCTGGCACAACGTACTGGACGACAACCTCGAATACCTCCCCGTCTGTCTTCTCCAGCGGAAAATGCAGCATCCACGTTTCACGCTGCTTGCTAGCCGAAGCTATCTGTCCTGCCTTGTCCATCATCTTCTTGTGATTTTCGAGATGATTCTGGACTATTTCCAGCTGCAACGTTGACAACGGTTGAGGCTTTTCCTCTTCCGACTCCGCTGGCTTATGGTAATTAATCACGCTCCTTTCCGGATTATCATCGATCGACATTTTCGCCATCCGCTTTTCGCTATTCATCGTGATGGTGATGTTGGGGGTCTTCTCAGGTGAGTTAGCTTCTGGTTTCTTTTTTTCATCAGGGAGCAAAACCGGCGCAGCATGTTCCACCGATAATACCTCCCCAGGTCCCGGGAAGTTTGGTTTACGCAATGGTTTCAAAGAACGTGCATTGTTGTTCAGATTATGATTCGATGCTTGTGCGATTGTGGCTGAACTCTTCTGAGATAGCGCTACGCCACCGGACAAAACTTCCAAATAACTATCATTTCGATGCAATTTGCTACAGAGAAGCGTAATTTTAGTGCATAAAAATAAAGCAGTACCTATAGTTAAAGCCAGGTTAAAGCTACTCACGGAATGGGGAAGCAAATTTTCTTGTGTTCCGACCAGTCCCGAATCTGGCACTCGACGGAACAGTACATCTCAAGGCAACGACTGCACAACAAGTCAGCCGGTTGTTGGCAATATCCGCACTTTTTCAAGCTATTCATGCTTGATTTGATTTCTTTCTTGTTCAACTTTCTATTTATAAATTTCCAAACTGAAAAGTTCTCGTGACGTTATTAAATAAAATTACGAACAACAGTAACCACGCACAGTGTTTAAAAGAGGCAGGAGGCAAACCGAACTGAATCGCATTCAGAGCTGCCAGGTGGTTTTATAAAAAAATCTGTATCCACTCTATTAAAAAATCTGTATTTTCTGTATTGACGATTTTTTTCTTAATTAATCATGTTTTGTTGTTTTACAAATACAGTGCATACAAAATAACCATAAAAAGTTCTTAACCACCTATTCGGGCTATCGTACTAACCATACGGGATATAATTGCGCCATTTGTGATATCGTCCGTACTTATTTATAAGAGTGATATGAAGCCGTTTGAAAATGTATGGAGATTTTAGTTTCTATTCATTATCTTCCTGATAAGCAGTTTTAAATGCAAAAAAGTGCACGAGTTCATTACTATTTGATATTTTTAATATAGATGAATACAATTAATTACATCATTTGTGTGGTAGTTACACCGAAAAGTCGAGAGATGTCGCCCCGCCAGTGCTGGTAAAATCATTTTTGCAGTATGGAGAATATCAGAAAATCCGCAATTTCGTACGAAATACATTTTTAATGCAAGTAAAATGTTTACGAGAACTTGTATTTGTACCATTTTAATGTGCTCGGGCACTTTTCTTGTATTTAACATACATACATAAATATATTGGAAATATTCAATTAATACTGTAAATCCCCATACAATCTCAAACCGTTTACTACTAGCTCCATATGCATCCGAAAGCGGTTGGTTCTCTGGTTGTGAATGCTGTCAAAAACACCATAACATGATTAATTGTCGATGGAAATTTGATAGGTTCCCGAGCAGAGGGTGAGAACAAAATGAAAACAAGAATTATGTTGTTTGCATTATTCCTGATAACTCAAATTGATTTCATTTTGATGTAGTTGATGGCTAACAGAACAAAAATGAGAGCTAAAAGATATGCGAAGAATATCAAAATTATAACATATATTGATATAAGTGAGAACTGCTTGATAACTTATTTTGATATAGATTTTTTTTTCTCAAGCATTTTATAAAAATCTGTATAAATCTGTATTGTAATTTAAAAATCTGTGATAAATCTGTATTCTGTATCGGGTCTGTATTAAGATTAAAAAATCTGTATTATACAGATAAATCTGTATAAATGGCAGCGCTGTAAAGAATCGAAAATTTCACTGAACAGTTCAGTTACTGTAGATATATTGCCCCTATGGCAAATTTTGTTCGAGAAGCCACTTCCGTTGGGCTTTCCAATCCCCCTCGGTTTTTATACATTTTATACCAGTGGAATCAATTTACCGAAATTTGATATAATTATTTTTACGGTACCGTTGTTTGACGTTTTGGGTTATTGTTTTTATTGTAAAATTTTAGCTTTTTCTGGGTGATGTCATCGTATTTTTCGTAAATTTTCGGCTAAAATCTTGAATTTAGTGCTTCTAATCCGTGTTATCAATAGCGAAACAATAGTGAACGACTGCGATGGCTGATCCAAAGTTTCAATTTCTACCGTACATTGTAAGTGCATACTAGTTTTGAGAGCAACCACCAACAACAAACGGGACTTTCACTCTGAATTTTCTTCCTTTTAGGCTCACGACCAGCCGGATGTGTACGAGACACCGGATGTACTGGAGTCGGAAACGTCCGATTTCTACGAAGAAGAACCCTCCAATGAAAGCATCGAGCGACTTCACATTTCCACCAAGGATTCGTACAATAAGTTCAAGGGAAAGTATCTGACCGGGGATGTGGATTTCAGCGATCGGATTGGGAAGAAAATTCGCATCGGCTACGATGCCCGGACCGAATGGGATTTGGCTGGCGAAGGGGAAAAGGAAACGCCTATCCAGAAGTGTTTGCGTCTGCAGTGCGAAATGAACGAACTGATGGAAGAGATTACGGCTTCTCAGGCCGACGCTAGCAAGAGCAAGGAGGAAAAGGCTTCCTACGAGGCGGTGTTCGAAGTGGTCGGAACGGCAAAGAAAGTTTTGGAAAGTTTGAAATTGGAACAAGCGATTGGAAGTGAAACTGTGGCCGTGGGAGCGGAAGCCGAAGCGAAAAAGTTGTTGACTAAAATTGAGGAATACAAGAAGTCGGGTGGAGCTGATCCGATCAAGACGGCAACCGACTTGGTGTATAGTTCCAGGATTGCCGAGCTGGAACATCGCCTTCATGAACTGGAGGTCGCTGTTGGCGCTAAGCCAGAGAAAATTAGTCGGCTAGCTGGCTCGGCCGGGGCAGGTAACTTAATCGAAGCCGTACAGTCCATTTCAGCGAAGGCAGCTTTACTGCAACCGCAGCAGCTAGATCTGATTGAAGCGAGACTGAATAACTTGGTGACAAAGATGAATGCCATCAACGAGAAGTCGGCAGCTACTGGACAGGATGCTAATCGGGAACAAAAGATTCTGGAACTGTACGAAATTGCGAAAACTACCGAACCGATAGTACAGATTTTACCCGACATGTTGCACCGAATGCAGACGCTGGAGTCGTTGCACAAATACGGTAAGATGGGATATTATTATTAGGAAACTCCGGACTAACTTTTAATCTTTTTTTTAGCTACCAATTTCGGAAAATTATTTGCAGAATTGGAGACAACTCAGGCAACCATTTTGAACGGCGTTGGTTCGAACAAGGCTCTGCTTACGGGAGTGCAGGAAGCGTTTGCTCAAAATCTCGAAAACGTCAACAAGGAAGTAAATAAGCTGGAGGAACGTATGAAGGCGCTTCAGGAGAAGGTGAAGTGAATCTTTGATCATTCCCAGTTGCGTCACCGAAGGGTAATATCGAGTTTTGCTTTTACTACTAGATCTAAAACATTCGCTTATTTATTAATATTCAAAATTATGTGTAATCACCACCCGGTTGGCAAATGAGCAGCTGAGGTTAGAATATATCTATCTATTTAACGCAAGAAAGTACCACTATGAAGAATTTGGACAGGTTTAAAGTATTTTCATTTGATGACGTGGCCTATACGATTTTTGTTTGTTTGTTCCCGAACATTGCCTCCTCAAGAGGAAAACCATAAAATCAAGTACTGAGAAAACAAGGGTTTGTGTGAAGATGCAAAGATGTGATGCACCGGATGTGTAGTATACTACATATACTATAGGAATTCAGTCCACTTCGCATAATGAAACAATTCTGGAGTCCTTTTTGATTGGGTCGTATGTAACATTTTTGTCAATTAGAGAAACGAGATGTTTTGTTTTGATGACTTCTGATGATTTCTACTTTCAATTAGATAGATAATTCTTTCAAAATTCCGATAAACTCCTAGCGACGACCATAGTGCTGCATTTAGAGGTTGAAATTTTTAGCCCTAGCTTCGAGATTCCTTGTACCAGTCCGTCTAGTCCAGATTGAAGTATTTCACATGAGTCTCCTCTCCAAGGACCTTTCCACGAAGAGCAATGGTTAAGTCGTCCGCGTAATCCGCTTTTATAATACCTCTCGGAATGTTGTTCACAAGCCTGGTAATGAAGATGTTGAAGCAAATAGAACTCAAGGGTGAACCTTGCGGAAGTCCTTTCCACGTAGTCCGGTACAGTTTTTCCTGACCGTTCGTGGTTCCTGCAAACCCTTTCTCTTTTTTCCATTTTGTTTATTTGGCAGGCTCAAATGTTATAAAAATAACTTAGCGGAGCCGAGTAACATAGAATACCAATTATGGTACTCAAAATACAAAAAAAATATATACAAATATATTTTATCATATGATTTTTCTGGGTGGCGATCGAAGTGGCGACAAAGCGATTTTCTCCCGTGCACGCAACTTCTTTCTTTCCCGAATTTGTTCCTCATTTTCATTGAACCCGAATCGTGATCGCTGCTGCTGTTTCTGAACATCGTTTTCCGTTGCATGCTCTCCACTACTCTCGTCGGTCGTCGGGGTAGTCACGTCCATTTCGTTATCTTCATTCAACATCTCCAACCCCGTGTCCGTTTCCTGATCGCTAATGACAAACGACGCACCTTCCACCACTACACCAGCATACGTACTGCTGCTGTTTTGTTTTCTTTCACTTTGCTTTCCTTTTTCCTTCAGTTGCTTCTCCGGTTCCTTCCGAGCCTTCAGCTTGGGACAGGAAAGCTTCCGGTGTCCGTCCGCCTTGCACAGAAAACATTTATCTTTGTTGCCATCATAAAAAATATTTCCTTTGCGATTGAAGAAATGTAATGACGTGGGGATTTCCTTCTTCACATCCATATATACACCGCGTATCCCTGTATATACCTCAAAACACAGATCAGTTGGAAATTTCTCCCGGATCATGCGTTTAATTTTCCCATATTTCCCCAGTACTTTATCCAGCTCGTTGTCGGGTACCTCTGGTGGCAAGTCATACACACGCACATATTGAATGAATTCACCAGCATGCGACATGCGTACCTTTGCCGTCGTTCCATTCGCATAATGGAAGATTAAATCCTCCGAATTAAATGTCAGAGCATGGAGCATCGCTTCCTCTGATATGAACTTCATGAAGACTCCCCTTTCCTCACCAATGCGATAAACAGCTTCCATTTCAGCCGGATCCGCGTCGAGTGCTTTGGCGAAATTTACTATCTCTCCGATGTTTGGTTTGGCATCACAATGGCTGAAGCTAAACTTGATGGTGTTTTTTACTTCACACATCTTGCACCGTAGCAACAAAAGGCACCGAACTGCTAGCAACGAACAAAGAGCAACTATATAATAGCGAGTCTTGAAAACAGGCTATCGTGTGGTTCACAACGAAATAAAAAAGGACCCTTTCTCTTGGAATAGACTGTATACCGCCTTAACCAAGCATTCATTTACATAAATCAATTTCATCTCGTTGATCAGACAATTGATGTCCACATTATCGTAAGGACTTTTAATTTCTATGCTACAAACGAGAACATGTTCCCGTTGATGTAATGCGCCCAGGAAATCTTCCGCAATGATGTTTACTCCACTGTACCTTTACCTTGGCGAAAACCGCACTTTTCCTCTCCATATGCCACTCAAAATTTTCTTTGATAAGTATTTCATAGATCTTACGGAAACAAGATGCCAAAGCATTCGGACGAATAGAAGAGACACTATCTAATTGATGGTTTGGTTTTGGAATGGCGACAATTTGGAATACCTTCTAATCTTTTGGGATATTTCCATTTTCGAAAGCTTCATTGTAGATTTTCAGCGATGTTCAAAACCCAATGAACGGGAGATTTGCAATAACAGAGTACAGTACACCATCTACCCTTGGAGATGAATCCTTCCCAGCCTTCAAAACGGCTCGTAGACCACACATTGAGAAAAAAGTTACCTCTAACATGATCTCCATAGTTGCATTAAGAAAACTCCACAGGATTTCTTCGCGTGGTGATAGGTGCAAGCTTATTCAGCAGTTCCTCCATAATTTGTTTATTTGGTCCTACATCAACAGACTGGGTTTAGCCCTAATGATGGATTAAGCATTACTATAGGAAATACAATATAGTCAAAAAGTAACAAGCTGCAAAGGCCGTGAAGTCCAACTTGATTCCTAATTCTTAAATGTATATCACGGAATCTCTGACGCAGCGTCTCGCGTGCCAAGTGAAAATCAAATAAGGAAGCAACACAATTGAAAACCCTTTGTAGCCCATTGATAGCACCATACGAACTATAGTTTGTACGACGAAAAGGTATCTTCAGCATTGCGTTGTTACGGAGTGCTCGCGTTTCAACGTTAACGTCCCAGAACCAGTTGAATCGTCGTTGAATAGACTCTACTCTTTGTACACTGTTTGGGTAATTGGGATTCCATACAGGGCAGCAGTATGCGTACACCAGCCGGACGAGGGAGCAGTAAAGCGACTTCAAACAGTAGATGTCCGTGAAACTTTTAGCTATCCTAAAATTAAGCCGAGCGTTCTGGATGTCTTGTCGATCACGTACGAGATATGCTGGCTGTATGTGAGTTGACAATCTAAAATGACTCCCAGATCCTTAATGTGATTCACACGATGTAGTCAACGCCTTCTAGGATATAACCAAAGATAAATACTAAAGCCTGGTACGCAGCTGAAAAGTAATGACGTTTTTACGTGCTACGGGATAGGACACGGAATGCTAAAGAAATTTCTTTTAATAAGCATTTCTTGACCCAGTACGCAGTTCAAAAGAAATCGGTAAAGGAAAGATCGATTACATTAGTATCGTGATCGATATGAAGGTGGCGCATTCTGAATGCAATTTCATTTTCCTTGCGGAATAATGGTCTGACCAATTATTCCGTTAGGTAATTTTAACGTTTGTTGTAAAAATGATGTTTTGGATGCATTTTAACAACATAAAAATTGATAATTGTTGATTTTAAAATTAGGCGACACCTATGATCTCAAAATTTAGCAAAAGACACCTCCCTATAGCTGTCAAATTTACTTTTGGGAATATTCCTCAAAAATTACTTTTCCGTTTTCTTTTCAGCTGCGTACCAGGCTTAAGATGAAACCAAAGATGAATACTAAGATGAAACTGTCGGAAGAAAAACTTTCTATTTTAGTGTCCTCTTTCACGGTCCCTTTCATCCAATGAATACCCCCCGTATTCAAGGTAATTTTGTGATTTTGCTGCCCCCTCGGTAGAGATGAAATTTTGCGCTCATTTTTATCAAAACAATCACACCAAAATCAGAGATGTCCCATCTTTTAATAATTCGATTTACAACTAATCGATTATTTTTTTGTTCGCTGTGCTGCCATTTTTCCACCAATGCACAGTGGTCCAGGAAGCAAAATTAGGTGGAATAAATTAATAACTCGAAAAATATTAGAGATAGCGTATTGACGTCTTCTAAACATTTTCTTGTGAGCTTTATTCGCGTTGGTTGCAAAAGTGTCCTAAACGCCAAATTCTACCAGCAACGTAATTTGGCCTCTAACTTTTTTATTTCAATAGATAGAGAAATTAAATGTTCTACAAAGTTGTGAACTATAAAAAACTAGAAAACTTTTTTGAACATCGTTTTTGTCTATCTCTTTTATATTTGGAGATATAAACCATTTAAAAAAACAAAAGCCGAAAATCAGATTTTCTGTCATATTTTATTTAAATATCACTTTTTTGGCCTACTAGGGTAAATGTCGGCTTCGGCACCCATTGACTGTTTTCGGCAAACAAAATTTAAACGTTAATTTCACTATGTTTTCCCATCAACACACTTCCCTGAATGCATCCAAACGATTCTTTAGTCTTTCAGCTTCAATCTGATTGTATGTGTACGTCTGAGCAGTCCTGTTATGGCAGATTTTTATTCAAATGAAGCATACGTACTCTAAAATGGGGTTGATTTCAAGTTGCCGATAATAGAACAGCTGGTTAACACGCAGTTCTAATGGGAAGGTTGCCGAAGAAAACGAGGCTGCCGACAATAGTCACACTCACCTGAGAAGTTTGGAGCGTTGTAAAAACGCTTTCAAACAGTTTTGAAGAATTCTGTCGATTAAAATGGATAGAGAAGCAAGCAGCAGATGAATGTAAACCAACAGACACGTCATATATGTGCGTGACGCTGAGAAAATGCTAATAGAAGTGTGGACACTGCTTAGATTGACGAGAATACGTAAATTCCCCTATGTTCAGAACGATTATAGTTAATTTTAAAATACATATTTGCTCCAAAGACACTATACCAGTGCAAGTCTCCTGTCAAAAGTTGTCGTCAGTTTTGTAGTCTTTTAGCTCAAATTTTCAAGCGTAATATTTCAAAATGGCGCAAGTACAACCGATAGTGATACATATCACTTTAAAAAGCATATCAAGAAGTACATTTTAGCAACTTTTGGTGAAGGTGATTTTTGATTTTTTTTAAATAAATGCACTTTGAAAATAGGGGTTTTTATTCCATAAATCTACATTGTTCAGACTTCTTTCGAGTATCAAAGAACCAGATCGATGATACACTATTTTGTGAATACATTAATATAATATATAGCATATAATCTTCAAAATAGCATAAGAAATGGAACCCAAGCAAGACTGCTAATGCCCTTAACATAAACAAGAATATTATTTATAGGTATGCGTATTTCATACACAAACAGACGAATTTGAAAATTTTAATCAATCATTCACTGGGGTATGAGTTAAAGCAAGCGTTGATTTTTGAGACGCTGAATTGTTCATTTCAAAACGTTGATATTTAAAAAAATATGACAGAAAAACTGATTTTTGGTTTTTGTTTTTTTAAATGGCTTATATCTCCAAATATAGAAGAGATAAACAAAAACGATGTTCAAGAAAGTTTTCTATTTTTTTATAATTCACAACTTTGTACAATATTTAGTTTCTCTATCTATTGAAATAAAAAAGTTAGAGGCCAAATTACGTTGCTGGTAGAATTTGGCGTTTAGGACACTTTTGCAACCAACGCGAATAAAGCTCACAAGAAAATGTTTAGAAGACGTCAATACGCTATCTCTAATATTTTTCGAGTTATTAATTTATTCCACCTAATTTTGCTTCCTGGACCACAGTGCAATGGGTTGATGGGTCGATAGGTAGGGTCCAGGTGAGGGAGCTGCCTCTCTGGCGTAGCATTAGTACTCAGTACGGAAAACAAATCAAGGAAATAAAAGATATAATTTGCTTTAGTATTTTCTTCCCTCATAATTGATTTCAATCTTACATTTATTGTTCCTTTCGAACTTTCTCACTCGTTTCCAACGAATATCCTGCCAAATATTCTGGGTACTAGTCGATCCGTATCTAGCCCGATTTGAGTGAGTAGGGTAAGATGGGGTGGGTCAGCTAGTACATTTGTTGATTGTTAAAATCATCAGGTTCAATGTAACCCCAATTATGGGTTGCTTCTTCATGGCTACATTTAGCCTGTCGATGTTGACAATCAATAAAATTAATAAATTAGGTAGATGTCCCATCTTGCCCCACTTTACCCTAAGTTTTAAATCGTAAGTGCATAGATTAAGATGTGCATGATATCTTACCTAAGGTTTTTCCATACCTTACTTTAGTAGTTTTAGGCAACCTATTTTAGGCAACATTTTAGCCGTAATTCACATTAATTTTAGTTTCTTACCGAATTCGAAATTGGTAGGGAGATCCTTCGCTATTTTAAGGTACACCGTAGTTGATAGATTTCCCTGTTGACATGATGTAATTATTTTATGTTCTAGTTGTAAATGCATGTTGAATTCAGTACGTACCATAATATAAGATAATTTTATGATCAATTTTAGGCTTTATAAATTTAGGATAGTAAGAAAAAAATCACTTTTAACGGTAATTAGGAAGAGCCTGAACATGACTTTTACTTTCAGATAGCTTTTTATCATTTTGACAATTCTTCTTCTACAACTGACAGATAGTCTATCGGAAAGGCTAGACTATCTATTGGCATTTATACCTTATACTTTTTCACGGGGCCTAGCCCTCGCGGCGGCGCACGCAACGCGTTGCTAGAGTATCGGCGGACCTGCTAATTGAAAAACTTTCGGCTCCGTAATGTTTTATTAAGACCCTGAGTTGAGCCTTACCAAATAAAGGAATTGGAAAAAAACACACAATCTAATCGATTTTTTGGTTGACTAGTTGACTACATTCTAACTGTTCTTCGGTCGAGTAGTAGAACGATTCATGGGAACAGGTAGCTGTAAATTGATGGATCCAAAGAAGAACAGTTCGGATTAATTATTCCAAGAATCTCCATGCGTATGGTCTATAATTTATTTCATAGAACTATTTCAATATGACTGCAATTGACTATCGAAATCCATTGCTTCGCTAGAGTTCAAGTTTAATATTCACTATGAATACATTATTCACACACTAACATAAATCTGTATAATTTAGACACAAAACCTATCCGATCCTAAATTGTATCAACTATCGTGCTATAGAGACATTAAAATATCCAACCTTACTGGTAGTTGGTTATCTACTGTTGGGAAGCCGGCGGAGCTTTCTCCGCTCTTCCCTTGGCCTCGTCTCAGAGATTGACGTTGGCGTAGTCGGGTTCATTCTCGCCCCGAACGTACATCGTGCCGTGCTTGGCCATGTATTTTTTGATGAATTCCCGCGCCTTGGTTCGCACGGAATCCGTCACTTCCAGTTCGTTGATGGTGTTGTCACAGTGCTTGAGCTCCTTCAGCAGGACAAAGTGGGTGAGCTGTTTGGAAGATAGCTACAGTTAAGAACGATCTCAAATCGGACCGCATATCGAACCACTTACCTTTCTAGCCAAATGCTTGAAATCCTCCGTATTAGTGATCCTACCGGTCTGGCAGGAATCCTTCCGATAAGCACTCAAATGCTGTACAATCACGCCGGCTATTTCTCCACGGAATTTCTCCTTTATCTTACGGGCCTCGTCGCTGCTGAGATCAGGCTTATCGGCCTTCTTGCGTTTACCAATCTTTGACGAACCCAGCGACGAGGAAGTTGCGACCGATGAGGAACCAGCGAAGGTCGAACTTTCACCCTGCTTTGCGGCACGCTTCTTTCCCAACCGTTGTTTGACCTTTTGCCATTCTTCGTAGGGGGAAATTTTCTTCTTCTTAGTGAGAATGTCCAACTCATCTACGATGCACTTATCGTCAACGATTTTATGCGAAACCACCAGGTCATCGTCGATGAGGGAACTTTCCGTGGCACTTCGATCCAGGGCATCCCCGGTGAACGACCCACTGAATGGACTATCGGAAAGCGATTTATCAAGCATGCTTCGAGCCCGTAGCCGTTTGGCTTCCTCCTTCCGCCGGCGGAGCTTCTCTTTGGTTTCCTTGTACCGCTTCATCTCCATCTGACCGTACAGTTTGTCCTCCTCCGTACGGGGCTACAACAAATCAACATACCAATTCATGTTTTGCTTTCGTACACTTAATACTATACTTACGCTTATGACTTTCTCCTGCACCAGCCTGTTGCTGTGCTTCCGCTTGCGATGTTGAAGCAATTCTTCGGCTGTTTTTTCGAACGATTCTCCACCGAATAATTTTTCGCCGCTGCTGCTGGCCTGTGGAGATGAGTCACCGGCTTCCAGATCTTTGATCGTCTTGGATAGATCATCGTTCATGTCGTCCGGCTTGGCGAGGACATCGTCTGCAAACAATCAATTGAGGTTGAGAAATTTGAACAACAACCTAGTTAGAACTCACCTAAATTGAAACTGGACTGCTGCTTCTTTTTCTTCTTGAGCAACTGCTCCAGCTGCGCGTTCAGATACTCCTCTTCCGAGTCTTCCGTGTCGGTTGTGCTTGAATCCGAGCTCATCGAGATGTCTTCATCGCGCAGTCCCTGGCTGGGTCTGTTGGGATTATTCTTCTTCGGAGGATCCCACTGCGGGACGCGTTCTTTGACGTGATAGTAGTATAACCGTCCCCGCTCGTCGATGGCAAACTTCCACAGCGGAGGTAAATCCATCGGTGGCAATTCGTAATCCTCTGGATTGGTCGGCATCGGAGGTGGCATCACTTTGAAGTACATGTGACTGGGTGGCCTCGGCAGCGGTCGATCATCGACGGCAAAGTACTCTCCGGTGGCGGGATTCATCTTAACTGGCACGTCCATCGGATTGGTATGGTGCGGATTGAGGCCAAATTTACCGCAGTTGCTTTCATGCTGCATCCAAAGTTCCTTGTTTCGTCGCTCGGCTTCTTCGTGGGCGACTTTCATTTCGAACATCTGGCGACGCTGTTGCTTCGAGAGGTTGTCCATTTTATGCATAGGACTGGCAGTGCTGAGTGGTCGTTTCATTTTGTAGAAGTTCAGAAGTTCCCGATCGTCTACCGACTTGCGACGTTTGAGTTCACGGGAACGATCCAGGAATCGACTGGTCGAGTGACGTTTGAAGGATTCGTCGTCATCACCGAGCCCGAGAGCTTTGTAGCGCAGATCGGCTTCCCGTTCGTGTTCCTTCATCTGTTCAATTCGTTCCTTTTTCGGAATTCGGAAAACCTCCTTGAGATTGATCCAGCTGATGAGCAGCTTGCAAGAGAGGATGCGGATCTGGGTTCCGAGACGTTTTTCTTCGGGAGCATTTTCGTCTTCCGGTTCGGGGATTTCAATTGCACCGATCAAGCTGACTGCCGATGGAATGATTTCTGGGATGGCGGCGGCGATTGGCTTCTCCTGTCCTTTTTCAGATCCTTCCTTCTCCGAGCAGGTGTTGCTGATAATCTCCTTCAATCTACCGAGGTCGGCTATCTTGAGTAGTTCAGGCATGTTTTTCAATACTTCTGCGCTTCCGACGACTTCCTGCTTCTTGGCATCGGAACTGGTGTTGCTATCGCTTGCCGTTTCATTGCTGTCACTCGGTGAGCTACTACTGGATTCTTTCTCTTTCTCCGGTTCTTTTTCCTTTTCCTTGAATTTTTCGATTTTGGCCCACTTTTCGATCGTCTGCATGATCTTGCTGTCCTTCAGCATGGTTTTGTTTGGAATGGGTAAACGATCCATGGTGTCCAGGATCTGAATGCGGAATTTGAGATCTTCGATGGATTCAGTCGATTCGCAGATCCATCCGTAGAGTAGTTGGAGACCATGGTAGTCCAGGAATAGTCGTCGACAGGGAAGTTCTCCGCTCTGGAGGATCGTCAGCAATCGGCTTCTGGATTTGATGTCCTTGGCGCGGACCATCAGTCGAGACAGTTTCAACGTTTGGGCTTGGTTCTTTAGACCGGTCTTGAGAAGATGATTGATCTCCTGCTCCAGATCAGGATCTTCGTGAATTTGCGGTCGTCGTTTGTTTGGACGTTCAATGCGTTTGCGAACCTTCTTGGGCACCTTCGGTTCCGGTGGTTTCACAATAGCCGGTTCTATCGCAACCGGTTTTGGAGCGTCTGGTTCTCCTTCCACTTGTGGCTTAGTCTCCTCGTCTAGCGATTTCAACTCTTCAGATTTGACCGCATCTTCCGTTGCTTCAAGTGCTACTGGGATAACTTGAGCGACTTCCGGTTGCACTTCTTCTTCGTCTCCGCTTTCTTCAACTTCCTCTTCGTCTTCGTATTCCGATTCGCCGTCGCTGCCCGGGTCTCCACCGATCCAGCCGGTGCAGTTTTCCGCTTCGCAGTAGCACTTCTGAGCCCTTCGACCGTACCGTTGGAACTGATAATCGAAGGTGATCTCCTCTCCCGGCATAACGTACTTGGTGCAGAAGAATCCAATGCGAAGCTCGCCGTTTACGGTCCACTTTTGCGTCTCGGCATTCGGGTCGCACGAATGGTTTATGAAACGGGAAATGTTTCCCTGTGTGGTCGCATCGATAATGGCATCGCTCCTCAATGCCATGAAGTAGTAGTGTTGGTTCTTCTCCTTGGAGTACAACTCAGCTCGTTCATCGAACTGCTCGCTGTTTAGCACCTCTCCCACATACTCCATGATAAAATCCCCAGGGACAATCTCGGTACTGGCTTGAATACCGAAGCCCTTCTTCTCCGTCCGGAAGACCTGGCAGTTTGCATATTCCAGCTTTTGGAAGCGCTTGTTTGTGCAGCGCTCTCCAACGATACATCGCGAACCGCATTCGATCATCAGCAGCTTGTTTAGACAGTCCTCGCCGCAACCGAGTTCTCCTCGATCGATCTCCTCCGTAGTCAGGAAGCAATCGCAAGTCATCTTCTTCGCCTCCTTACTGATCACCTTATCGCAGTGGTACATATTCTCCCGGATCGTCTCGAATCGACTCAGCTTGTCCTCCATGTCTCGGAGATATTCCTCCGATAGTTCTATGTTCGTCACCGATGGATCCAGTTCGGTTGGCGGCTGCTGCTCCATTCCAGAACTGTCAGTTATAGAAACGACATTGAAGTTCCCCGTGATGGCATCCTTCAGAACCTTTGAATCGATTCCCATTGAAATTGTGGTCTTCTTATAGAGCTTGTCTTTGTCTTTGACCAGCCCATGACCACTGGTCCGCTGTTTCTGGGAACTGATCGTTTTGATACGGGACGACCTACGGATGCTTCCGTCGTCCTGTTGTTCCGCTTTCACCTCCTTCATGCTGTCCATCGTGGAACTGTTGTTGGAGTTGGAATCGTCGTTCGAGAGTTCCTGCGCCGCTGGCGGAGAAGCTGGTGCTTCCACCACCAAAATCGCTAGTTCTTCCTCCACCTTTGGAACTTCTTCGGCAGGCTTCTCGTCGGAGATTGAGATGTTTTGGAACTCTTTCAGGGCATCTTCTGGTCGGGGACCGGAAATCTGTACGCTGGCGTCGAACGCTTCCGATATTTGTCGGACTGCTTCTTCATCTTCTTCAACGTTTGTTTCCTCTTTCGGGACCACCGCCACCTGGTCTGAAACGAGCGATTCCTGAGAGGAACTGGTTATTTGAATTTCTTCGTCGTTTTGGTACATCTTCCGCGAAGCTTTGGTGACGATTCGTGGCAGTTCCGGAGGTGGAAGTTCTTCCTTTATGGCAGGTTTGGTGTCCGGTTCTTCCTTCACTGGAACTTCTGTCGGTTTCGGTTGTTGTACCTCCGGAGGTTTCATGTCCACCAGAGGAGGAGCTTCCACCGGTTTGTCTTTGGATTTATCCTTTTTCGAAGCTTCTTCCTTGGGTTTTTCGTCCTTCAAGCTCTTCCTTGCCTTCGAACTACCGGACGAATCTCTTTTATAGGATGACTCCTTGGATTTCTTTGCGCTCGACGAACCAACCTTGCTCGGAACGGGGGAACAGTTCGTCGAACGGCTCTTTTCTTTCGGTTCCTTCACCTTGGACTGGCCAGTGGAAGAACTACTCTTCTTTTTGCCTTCCGATTCGCTCCGAATTTTAGAATTCTTATCGGATTTACGTGACTTTTCATGATCCTTGGACGACCGCTTTATCTCCTCCACCGGTTTTTGCTTCGACGTCGAATCTAATGCCTTCAGCTCACTATCGAAGCACTTTTTTGGTTTATCGGCAACCTTCGGCACCGGTGTGGACGGTTTGGTCACATCTTCCTTCTTTTCCGACTCCGTCGGTTTCTTTTCCGACTCCGTCGATTTCTTTTCGGCCACTTCCGACAAGCGTTTCTTATCCGGGTCCGGCTTTTTCTCAGATACTTCCGGCAGCCGCTTCTTGTCCGGGTCCGGCTTTTTCTCAGAGATTTCCGATATGCGCTTCTTGTCCGGATCCGGTTTCCTTTCGGACTCGGATCGGCGTTCTTTTTTGCCACTTTCGGACGCTCGCTTACGATCCTTGTCCTTGTCTTTGTCCCGATCCTTACTGCTACCACTGGAGCGATTTCTCGAAGGCTCACGATCCCGGCGATCCTTGGACGAAGGCTCCCGTTCGCGGTCCTTAGATTTCTTCGAATCCTTCCTGGATTCTCGGTTCTCTTTCGACGATTTCTTAGGTTCCTTTGGCGTTTTTGGTGCTACGTCCAGTTGAGGTGGTTTTGACTCTGCCAACGGAAGTTCTTTCTTGATCTCTGCAGGAGCTTCCTCTGCAATCTTGTCCTTCTCCGGTTCTTTCGCAACTATATCCTTCGTTTCGGGAACGACTGGTTCGACTTTTACTGTGACAATGGAAGGTTCTACTACCTCCTTTGGAGTCTCCGGTTCCTTTACCACCTTTTCAGTAACATCCGCCTTAGACTTTCGGCTGCTGGATATGGACTTGCGACGTTCCGAAATCGATTTCCACCTCGTATCCCTGGATGTTGACTTCTTGGGAGTTTTGTCGGAATCAATCTCGGGTTCTCCTGCCTTAACAAACACCGGCTGTTCCCGTTCCTCTTTCTTCTCAGGAACAATTTGTTCGACAATCTCTTCCTGTTTGATTTCTACCGTCTTTGGAAGTTCAAGCACGACAGGTTCCACCGCAGTGTCTGCCTCCATGGGAACCGGTAAAATCTCCTTAACCGTTTCTCCCGGAGCAGGTACCTCAACTTTCTGCTCCTCCACGTCTTTTTCTTCTTTTTTCTCCACGCATTTGATCACCTCAATCGTATCCTCCTCCAAGCTCGGTTCTGTATCTCTTCGACTTCGTCCTCTTCGCGGCCCATCCGCTGGGGAAGGCCGCGTACCACCACGAATTCTTCGTCTCCTAAATGGTTTCGGAGTAGCCGAAAGCACCGGTGTAGCCATTTCTTCGTCATTGTTAATAATCTCGTCCGCTTGGAGGACTATTTCGATAGCGTCATCTAGACCGTCTTCGTTTTCGAGCGTGTTCACGGTGGTTTCCATCGATTCAGGCTGTGCTTCAACTACCGTTTGTTTTTTCTCAACTGGTTCTGGTTTTTTTGCCGGAACTTCCGAAGGGTTTACTTCCGGAACTTTCGAAGGTTTTACCCCCGGAACTTCCGACGGCTTTACCTCCGGAATTTCCGACGTCTTTTCCTCCGGAATTTCCCCAGGTTTCAGTTCTGGAGAACCAGACTCATTCGATGTCACTGAAGTGGAAGTTCCCGCATTGCTTCTTGTTGTTTTGTACGACCTCTTGATGAACATCGATCCAGCCGGACGCACTGGTTCCTCTTCTGTCGGAATTGCCGGTTGCAGAATAGTTGATTTTGCCGGTCTTCCCCGCCGTTTCTTACCAGCCACCACTACCTCGGACTTTTCTTCCACCCGTGAAGTGTCCTCCTCTGGGACTTGCATAGGCAGAATCGAACTGAACGACATCAAGGAGGACAACGACGAACATGACGGGCCTGCCCCGATATTGGTGAATTCCTCTTCTGGCCAACCGCAAAACTCCTCCGGCGACGGGCTGTCGAAACCGAACATCTCATCGTCCGTAAAATAACTACTATCGATGTTGAATGTTAAGGTGGAATCGTTTCGATCTTCTGGTTCCGTGAGCGTTATACTTTCATCCGCCCATTCTGTAGAGCGTCTGTGTGCCACGGATTTTTGTTCCTTTTTCTTCCGTGGACGGCCTTCCCGCGGTAGTGGTGTACAGGCACGCGTAGGTCTTTTCCTGGGCTTCTCCTCCCTCTTACCAGCATACGTCCTGACCGGTGGATGAAGCAGCATCGGCGGTGAATCGGGAGACAAATCATCGGACGATGAAAGCATTTCTGACTCTTTTGGGTGACTTTTCCGACCGCCGGGATTGCTCCGCGCCAGTTTAACATCTGCGTACGGTACCTGGGATGACGGCAAGGGAGCGTCCACGACAAAATCCCGATATTTGTTCGTCACCTTGACCTGTCGTTTGGATTTGCGAGTACCAACCACTTCTGTTTTCGAACTACTTTCACCCTCCGCTTCCTGATGAGCCGGAAAACCACTGCTACCTGAACTGGAAGCATCATCATCGTCATATTTCTTTTCGGTCTCAACCTAAAATTACAATCAAGGTCATTCCGTGAATATTTACCACTTCGATCAAACTATACCTGCATGTGACCTAGCTCCTTGGATCCCTTATCAGTCGAAACATTGTCATTCACAATTTCACTGCGTTTCGGTTCATTAGAATCCCCATCAGGCTTCATCGAGTACGATGCTTCCGTCGAAATGAAACTGCAACCTTCGTGCGATTTGGAATCCTCATCGATTATCTCTATCAGCTCAACCAACCCCTCGTCATTAGAATCTGCCTTCTCAACAACGGTCGTCGTCCGAACCCTCTGCTGACTTCTTCTAGACGACCTTGTTGGTCCTACGGATTTCTGAAAATCGCAAAATGTTCTCTCAATTTACAAACATCATTTCCACCAATCGATAATTTCACTTACGCTTCTTGCCCGAGCAACTTTCCGTGCTGGTGTTGCCACTGCTGATGCTGATTCTTTTACGGCCGAAGGCTCTGGATTAACCTGGTCCATATGCAGTTTCTGCAGCACCACCGATGCTCGCAAATTCGTCAAATTAATTCCCCCCAAACAAAATGTACCCTTGCTATCTCCTTTCTTATCCGTTGTAAGAGGTGTTTCCGTCTGTGCGGGTGGCGAAGCCTCACCTTTGTTATCCCCCTCGCCGCTTCCGCTGCTGCTGCAGCTCACTGAAGACCGAGCTTTGGTGGAACTTTTCACCGCTGCCGATGTGCGTGTAGTTCGAACCATTTTCAGCGAAAAATATCACCCATCGATCAAGAACCTACTATACTTACGTTTGACGGCAAAATTGGTCCGATTCGGGCACGATTACTTGCTGGAAATTGCAATTATAAATCGAACACCACGGGACACTTCCAGCAAACACAAATGGCGGCCATAGTTTTTCACTTCCTTCTCGGGAGCTTCCTCACACCAATGCACCAATCCCAACGAACGTGCAAACGATGCGAATCATGTAGAAGGGACATCAAACGAAGAAAAACAAATACCCGGTATTGAAAAACGCGGGTAAAACTCGAAGACACACTAAAAGCAATTAGAACAAATAAGACGGATTTTTGAAAAATACACGGAGAAATAGGAAAAAAAACCACACTCAGAAAAAAAATAAACTAATGCGCGTTTCACACCAAATTGAACTAATAAAGCGCGTTTTCACTTATTAAAAAGTGTGATAAAACTGCAAGTTTACGTCTTGGTGTCACCTTATGATGCAAGCAATAAGTGCTCCGAAGACATCAAAACGATTTGACGGAAACGTGCACTTTTATCATACTATTTGCATTTTTGGGACAGTCCAGTTTCATATGCAATCAGCAATAATTAACCACTTCATTCGAGCAGATAAAATGACGTTTACTACCACTCTAACTTTGAAATGAAACATTATTTTGAGATTTTTTCTTCTAGAACATCGAGAAAAGTAGTCAACATTTGTGCGTTTCATAAAAAAATAGAAATTAGTTGGTCCAGTTTTGTGAAATCGCTGGTAGAAAGTCACGCCAAAACTGCTTGACAAAGTGGTCAATTAGTATAAAAGTCACACTAAAACGCTATTCGCCTGGTTGACTCCAGGTTTCGTTTAGTTGCCAACAAAACGAGCCTAGTATAAACTTGAAGTATAAGGAGTATAGTTTATCTTTTGAATACCCGCATAAACGCGAACCATAAATTTACCCTACCTAAAATGGTTAAACATTGTTTATAATCCCTGCTAAACTTTAACTGAAATGGTTATGGAACTTTACATGAACGTTTAATGATAAAGTTTCAACCTTATGTATTATGGTTTTTTGGAACTGGACCATACAAATAATGGGTTGTTAAGAACCATTACCGTTCCAAATTCTTGTTTTCTCCATACATTTTCGGAAAGAGAACTATATTAGAACCTGTTGTTGAGAGAGTGAAACAAGAAACTAAATTCCATGAATTTAATCCGTCGATGTTGTAAATTATAAAATTCCTAAGAATGAAACAGTTTTTACTGGTAATGTCAGAAGATTAATCAATTAAGTATAAGTTAATCTTACTTTTAGTGTTTCTAGTTTCTCTAACAACTGTAATATTCGAATATCCCGCAGCTAACGACCTGTGTTTGTGTATATAATATTCGTTTAGTATTTAAATAGCTATAGTTTAGAATTAAGGAATTTCTCACCTATGAGCTAACGACAATACAATGGCATTCGTCATTACGGGCTGTTCAAAGCCTGGTTCTCATTGAATAACCTCCTTTTCGTCTAGATGTAGTATTATACGATATTTTCACTCTTATATCATTATCTTGTAAATAACTCACCTAAATTTAGCTTAATCCGAGCAATTCAGTAGATGATAGTTCAAATTTCCGTAAATTTAGGAATAACCAAGTATTAAGTACTTAATTGTCGTTTAAAAAAAAACTGTAGATTAATTTGATTTAACGATGGCCGCTTTGTTGTTATTTTGCATCTCTTCGGGTGATGATTCATTCGTAGTGCTATTAATCCCTTGACCAGCGCTGGGTGTGGCGTACAGTAGCGGAGCGTTAAATGTGGGCACGGTCACGTTTGATTCTGACGGGGCGTAGTCAACAGAACCTTTTAACTTATGGTTTGAGTACTTAATGGTAATGGTTATGGTAGTCAGTAAGGTCCACGAATGGTTTTGTAACATCGATCAACTTTATGTGGAATATATCGCGAATTGGTTGCCTGTAATTTACTGATTACCAATTCATGATATATTCCACGTAAAGTTGAGCGATAATACAAAACCATTAATGGACCTTATAGTACGTTCAGACTACAGAGTTATAACATGTTATAGCGCTATCTTGATGGTGGTTTCTGTGTTGCAATTATTTGACAACCGTTATAACATGTTATAACTCTGCAGTCTGGACAGCGTTTTACTGACTACCAAAACTATTAGCATTAATGTTCTCAAATCATAAGTAAAAACGTTCTTATATAGTTCTCTTTCTGAAAATGTATGGAGAAAACAAGAATTTGGAATGGTAATGGTTCTTAACAACCAGTGTTGGAAAAGTTCGCGATATTTCACAAAGTTCTCCAAGGGAAAAGTTCGCGAGTCATAGTGAGTTTTCAGGAACTTTTCCATCACTGTTAACAACCCATTATTTGTAAGGTCCAGTTCCAAAAAAAAACATAATACATAAGGTTGAAACTTTAGCATTAAACGTTCATGTAAAGTTCCATAACCATTTCAGTTAAAGTTTAGCAGGGATTATAAACAATTTTTAACCATTTTAGATAAGGTCAATTTATGGGTCGCGTTTATGCGTAGTTTACCGGTGGATTATCCGTAGAATGTATTTGATCACTGTCATTTTAATGTTGGTATTTTTATTGATTGAAAAGCAATAAATTCAAATAATATAAAGTTTATTTTCTTAGGAAAGCATAAAAAAGTGAAAACAAAGCAATCAAATCTCGTGCAACCGTGCTCCGGATCAGACTCGCTGGTCAACAGTTTTCTTGGTTCGGATTTGGACTCGAGAAGCTTTAGTTTGTTGGAAAAGTATTCTGGGCAGGCGTTTTAGTACGTACGATCTCCTGTCCCACCGAGGCATCCGTTAGCATGTCCGTGTCGAAACGGAGGACCTCTTTGATGGACTGCAATGCTACCATCGATTTTCGACGCTGCTTTTTGTTCAACTTCAAATGATAGTTGAAATCGAACACGGCCGATTATCCGGCGGAGGATACTTCATTATTCGGGGAAGTCAACGATTTGATCTTTTCCGAGCTGAGCTTCTCGAGCCTTACGACCGGTATGGCTCGAAGCAACTTTTCGACGGAAGTCCCTCGTGGCAGTCGAATCTTCTTGACCAGTTCCTCCAGGCTGATTTCTTCGCCATTTGAAGAAACCAACGAGGAAGAACTAGATGAAGTCGTGGACAGCCGTCGCTTCGATGCTGGTTTCTTTCGTTTAGGGACCACATCGTAATCGCTGTCGTCACTGTTCATTGTGGTTCGTCTGTTCTGAGATTTGCGTTTGGTCGTCGATGCAAATGACTCTGAACTGTCCCCATCTGAATCATCAGGTTTAATCTGACGTCTTCCACGAGATCAGCCCCTAGAACTCCCTAGAACTCTCTTACCGCCAACAATCGGACGACAAAAAGTGCAAACATAGTTCTTCAAGGGAACCTCCATGCACTGATCGTGGCGACAAGTCATACCACACGTTGCACACCGTATCAGATCCCAACGCTTGCAATCGTCGTAATCACGTAAACTGTATGACCCATACCGACCGTGCCCCAGCGATTGGGCAAACTGTGCCACGCAGCTCCGATGCAACCAGCCATTCTGACAGCACGGGCACGAATCGATTCCAGCTTCCTGTACGGTCCCATCTCATCGTTGCAAATCCCACAGGCCTCGGTCTCGGAGTATTTTACCTTATCCACCAGCGCTACGTGCTTATCGCACCACGATTGCAACGTATCCACGTAATGCAACAAGGTGCCTGACGCATTTCACAGAGCGTATGAAATGTACGGAAGCACTTCTTTGCGCAGCAAAAAACATTAGCATACCGTTCCTTGCAGATGTAGCACTTTTGTCCTCGGATACGAGCTTCTTCCTCCATGAATCCGAAGATTCCCTCCTCATTTTCCCCATATGCTGGACCAGCTGAAATTAATTTCCCATTAGCTAATCCCAATAATTCCCATTCGTGACATATGCGTTTCCGCACTTCCTATAATGTGTGTAATGCGCTATACCACCACCTCAACATTTCAAGTGCACAGCTGCCACAAAACATACAACAATGAAACTGGAACTTCACATTTGATGCAGAAAACAGGGAGTTCCAATATCATGAGCGATGTGTCACAACTTTGCACGAAATTTGTGCTCTAGAAAACTTGAAGTGATATCATCCAGTTTGTGGACTCTTCAAAGAACAACCATAAATGATTTTTGAACAAACGATTTTCGAACAGATTTATCAACCAAAAATACTAAAGGGTGGATCAGCAAACTTGTAATGACCTTATCTTGCAAACTGAAGCGCACCTACGCAAACCAATTCCACCATCGGATAGGAGAGAATTTTCCCTAGCCGACGCGACGGTGTTGTTGATTTGGCAAGGCGAGCTTCGATTTGGAGAAAAGAGCATTACAAGATTTGATTACAAAAGCTGATCCGCCTTTTTGAATTGGGTTCTTTAATTAACCAATTATGTAGGTTTACCTGGGTCCTTGCTGAAGAAACTTCGGTGGAGGTGAACGCTCTACACTAGCGTAACAACGATTGTTGGTGTCCAACTCAATCGTTCGATGATTGATCGACAGGGAACGGATCAGTGATGGGCACTCAAATCTTCACTGCATATTACGGACAACAGGTGAAGGGTACAAGTTCTTCCTTCATTATACAAATGACATTAACACACAAGTTTTGTACGAAACACAAACTCTAACTACACTACATTTATTCTGAACAGACTACACCACAAATTACAATAATATTTCTCGGTCTCGCAGGACCGTCTTCGACCTTGTGCCACTTATCAACTAAAATACAAAAATATCCGTTATCTACTCTCTAACCCGATCCCAGTATCCCATCGTGTATGTGGTGAGTTTCACAAGAGATCGAATCGTAGACCGAATCTCTCGCTCTCATCGTCCACCTCATCTCCCGTGTGCTAATGAAAGCGAAAGTGATCTGGATCTACAATCAACTGCTGGTCGATCGATGGCCAGTACAATAGCCGGAGCCATCATCTGGTCGGCTGTTACGGTGATAGTATTGTGCTAGGGTGGTCCTCATAGACATGCTCACCCACCCAGAAATATCCGTTTCTGAAAATAAAGAATCCTCTTTAAGAGATGAACTAGCCTATGGCTAAAAATCTCTATAATAAAGTATTAAAAAAAAAAA